GGCACCAGCGAGCTGGCTGGGAGCCCTACGAAGTCCTCAAGGCCCCTGCCCTACGCTGGCGGCCGCCTGGCTCCCCGCGTTCCTGACCCGCCTGGCAGGTGTGGGGTGCGGCCCCACACACCTGGGCTGCTGGATCCCAGGGCAAGCCCTGCCCTCGCTGAGGCCGGCACAGGGGCCCCTGTGCTCGGGCCGGAGACCCCTCCTGCCGGCTGTTTCGAGGGACTCCCCAGAGGCCGCTGCCTCCCGCACCCTGGGCACTGCGGCGAGGGGTAGCAGGCCCTGGACATGGCTTCTCCTGGTGGGCGGCCCCGCTGGGCGTGGGTCCTGGAGTGGCAGACAGGGGCAGAGCAGGGGACCGTGACCAGGCCCCGGGCTTGCTGGGCCCTCGGGATGGCCTGACCTGCGGTGGAGAACCTCAGCCCGAGCCGGGGCTGCCGGGTGCCGGGGGTGCCGAGAGCCCCAGGGGCCTGCGCCGAGCTCCGGCGCCCAGACTGTGTTCTGGTGTCACCTGGGTGCCAGGGTGCCAGCTCGGGGCTGTCTGCATGCCTGTGTGCATCAGGTGTTCTCCGGGTGAGCAGGTGGGCCGCCCTCAGGGCTTGGGTGCCCGTCGGGGGACCCAGTGTAGACCACACCCCTCCCGTGTGAGCTGGAGGGACAGTGGTGTGCCTCCCGGGGCCGAGGACACGGGGTGGGTGGAAGGGAGCCCACCCCCAGCGGGCGGCCCTGGCAGGGCGGGAAGGCGGGTTGAGACCTTTAGAAAACTCGAGAAACTGCAGAAGATGCTTCGTGGTGGAACCAGCCGGGCGTCTACAGAGACGGGAAGTCCTGGCAGCGCGCGTGGCCGGCCCTCGGGGCGTGGCCGGCCCTCGGGGCGTGGCCGGGGGCGTGGCAGGGGCGTGGCCAGCCTCAGATCATCTTCATGTTGAACTTGCGCGCGCCGCCCTGGCCGGCCGCGGCCGCAGAGCCGTCCACCTTGCGGAAGGAGTACTCCACCGAGAAGTTGTTCTTGTGCTGCCCGCGCCCGCGGCTCCACACGAACAGCAGCAGGAAGCAGAAGAGGACGACGCCCAGGAAGGTGATGCAGCCCATGGCGGTGGACACCAGGATGGTGGTCAGGTCCAGCGGGAAGCGCGCGGCCGCCTGCGTCTCGTTGCGCGCCCCGCCCCGGG